TGGCAGTAAACTACCCTAATGTATTCCTGCCAACCAGCACTGCCACAAAAACCTCCTCCTCCTGCACCTTCTCCCTCCCTCCCTCCCTCATCCTGTAGCTTCTTTTGCGTCTCTGGTCATCCCTGCTCACTAGCGTGCCACTGGTGTAAATCCGACATTAGTGCCACTGGGCCTGATTCTCATTGCACTCTGGGTCACTGCTGCTCCACGGGGAGCAATGGCTGACTTATTCCAGAGCATTTGGGAGAGAAATGAGTCCACTTGCATTGAACGTTAAAATATCAAAGAACTAATGAGTATTTATATTTCTATTTATATTTTCTTTTTATGACTGTATTTATGGCTTTGTATGTGCTAAGTATCAAAAAATGTTGAATGTTTACCTGTATTTATTCAATAACTTATCTACCGAATAAAAATTGTGTTTTATTTAAAAAAGAATGTTGTTTCATGGTAGCTCAAAATGAAAGCAGACACAGATAATGGGTCTGTGCTGCAGTAGCACTGGGAGATTTCAGCAAAGATCAGGCTTTTTCCTGTGCAGTAACATCAGTAAGAGGGAGCACAAGAGAACTTGCAGCCTCAATAGATGAAAAGATGCAGAAGAGGGCTGAAAGTGGTGAATTGACACAGGCAGAGCTGGGGGAAACCAGCATGCTCGAGTTCCTCCCTGAAACATCTGTACGCCAATGCATGCAGCATGGGCAATAAGCAGAAAGAATTAGAGACCTGTGTGTGGTCGCAGGGCCACGATCCCATTGCAGTTACAGAGACGTGGTGGGACAGCTCGCATGGTTGGCATGCTGTCATGGATGGCTACACACTCTTTAGGAAAGACAGGCCAACCAGACAAGGTGGTGGAGTTGCACTGTATGCGAGGAAACAACTGGAATATATTGAGCTCTGCCTGGGGGCGGATGAAGAAGGAGTCGAGAGCTTATGGGTTAGAATTAAGGAACGGGCTCATATGAGTGATAGTGCTGTGGGTGTGTACTACAGGCCACCTGACCAGGAGGAGGAAGTTGAAGAGGCCTTCTATGGGCAGCTGGAAGCAGCCTCACAGTTACAGGCCTTGGTTCTGGTGGGGAACTTCAACCACCCTGACATCATCTGGGAAGACCACACAGCCAGGCACATGCAGTCCAGGAGGTTCCTACAGAGCATTGATGATAACTTTCTGATGCAAGTGGTGGAGAAGCCAATGAGGAGAGGCGTGCTGCTGTACCTTGTACTAACCAACAAAGAGGGACTGGTTGAGGATATGAAGGTTGGAGGCAGCCTCGGCTGCAGTCACCATGAAATGGTCGGGTTCAGGATCCTGCGTGGAGAAAGCAAGGCAATAAGTAGGATCAAAACCTTGTACTTCAGGAGAGCTAACTTTGGCCTCTTCAAGGAGCTACTTGGAGGAATCCCGTAGGTTAGGGCTCTAGAAGATAGGGGGGGTCCAAGAGAGCTGGTCGCTGTTTAAATGTCACTTTCTCTATACTCAGGATCGGTGCATCCCCCTGAGCAAGAAATCTAGCAAAGGAGGCAGGAGACCTGTATGGATGAGCAAGGAGATTCTAGTGGACGGAAGAGAAAAGTCTGTGGAATATGGAAAGAGGGACAGGCCACTTGGGAGGAGTACAGGAATGTTGTCAGAGCATGCAACGAGGAAGGCTAAGGTCCACCTGGAATAGAATCTGGCAAGCGATGTCAAAGACACCAAGAAGGGCTTCTTCAAGTACATCAGCAGCAAAAGGAAGACTGGGGAAAAAGTGGGGCAACTGCTGAACGAGGTGGGTGTCCTGGTGACAGATGATGCAGAGAAGGCAGAGTTACTGAATGCCTTCTTTGCTTCAGTCTTCAGTGCTAAGGCCAGCCCTCAGGAATCTCAGACCCTGGAGGTAAGAGAGGAAGCGTGCAGAAAGGATGCGCTTCCCTTGGTTGAGGAGGACTGTGTGAGGGATCGCTTAAGCGATCTGGACGCCCACAAATCCATGGGCCCCGATAGAATGCAACCACGAGCGCTGAGGGAGCTGGCGGATGTCATTGCTGAGCCACTCTCCATCATCTTTGAGAGGTCCTGGAAGACAGGAGAGGGGTCTGAGGACTGGAGGAAAGCCAGTGTAACTCCAGACTTCAAAAAGGGCAAGAAGAAGGACCCAGGGAACTACAGGCCGGTCAGCCTCACCTCCTTCCCGGGAAAGATGATGGAGCAGGCAGGAGGGTTGGACTAGATGACCCACAGAGGTCCCTTCCAACCCCTACGATTCTGTGATTCTGTGGGAGTTGGCAGTGGAGCCAGGTTCTCTAGAGCCTGAGGATGGTCTCTAGGAATGGTGGAAAAAGAGCTGGGAGACATCTCATTGCAGGGCTGTAGCTGAAATTTGGGACGGGGGTCTAGCCTCGTTCACAAGAGCTGGGAAAAGCCTGTCTATCGTCTTCCAGACAAGATGTCATCCTTGCAAGTAACCTTCTCCACCAGCTGGGTGGTTGAGATGGCGTCATTTCACCTCTCTTTAACCATCCAGATATTGGGTGTTGGGCTTGAGGTGGTGGATGAGGATCCCTCCACATCAAAGGAATAAGGAATAAACACCTTGAGAGCACGGTTGCCTGCAGAGCTGAGGTGTCCTAACTTAAGAAAGGAGGAATTGCCCTTTCTCTCCCTTAGCTACACAAGGAGCACACTGTTTATGATTTTATCAGATTTCTGCAGTTTTGCTTTTTTTTGACATTACTAATCTCTCATCCAGAGCTGAGCCAGATTCTCAGACTTTGGTTTCTGCTGAGAGAGGTTTTAAGCCTGTATTTCCTTGCTCACCTGCGTTTAAACTGGAGTAATCCTGTGTGCAAACATTCTCATATTTAATTTCAGCTGCACAGAAGCCACTTTCAGTTAGATCCACCTGGTTCAGGTAGGCCCTGGCTTTCCTCCCCCAAGTGGGTCAGAGGAGTCATTGGGTCTAAATGACTCCTTTGGTGCTTGTTTGTCAAGTCAAGTGTATTCCCTGCCCTGCGGGTCACTGGGAGCCAGTTCAACAAGCCATGGGTAACAAGGTGGGGAAACCATCTCATTCAGTTACAAGCATTTTTACTCATTTGTGGCAACAGCTGTTTCGTTA